GAGTCTCGGCCAGATATGATCCATGGTTTTTCCTCGAAGAAAGGCAGAGAGTCCTTGGGACCGGTCGAACGGACCCGAGAACTATATGGACTGACCGCTGAGAATCTGGAGTCGGTCACCAGCTGACCCAAGCCAGGCCCCCACGAACGGGATGCTGGGCCCCACTCGGATTAGCCCGTTAACAGCTCACCGAGCACCATGATTCATCCATAGAGGAAAATCATGCCATGGCTTAGCCCCTCCATTTTTATCGAAAAAACGCTTGAGGGAAGATGATCACAAAGCCGAGCCGACCCTCGACCGGACCTATGCTACAGGCGGGGGCTCTTGGAAAGTTAGACTCGCAAGGAGACCAAACGCACGGTTGCAGAACGACAGACCCCCGTAGGGGTTGGAATCAGGAAAGACCTTTTCTAACCCACCAAATCTCATGGCTATACCCCCGAGGGGGCCGATCACGACAAAAGGGAATCGCCGTCCCCAGAACACGCTGTGGGCGACAAAAGAAGGCCAAGACCCTCAGAGTTCTCCCGTTCGGAAAAACCTTCGAATGAGTATTCTACTCCTCCACAGGCTCGGAGGCTACTATCGGGGACCAATACTAGGGTATCCGAAGAGGAGGAGCTAATGGTCATTAACATTGATTCATCCGAGCAGTCAAGAGCGCGACTACAACTCCAACCAACCCCCAGGTGCGCGGGCTCCGCTCGCCTAACCTCTGGGGGCGGGCTTCGCCTCGCCCGACCTCTGGGTCAGGGGCCCCGCCTCACCCGGCCTCTGGGTCGGGGGCCCCACCTCACTCGGCCTTTGGGTTGGGGGCTCCATCTCATCCGACCCCTCAGGCACGGCTCCTGACAGAAGCCCGTACTGTCGCCAACCACTACAGGCCAGAAAGTACAACCCAAGGTCAAACTTCTAGCATCGTGCAGGGAGCGGGCACATCTCAACATGACCCGTGCCCATGACATGTCACTCTAGGGAACTCACATCACCAACAGTGATGGACGCGTGGTCACTATGATGCCTACTCCCTGTACGGCCGCTGACCAGCACGCTGGTTCGCCGCGTCGCTCGCCGAGACGGAATGGGACGTCACGACCCGCTGACAACGCCAGGGCGTGGCATCAGCGGCGAACAGGCGCCCGGCATGGAGCCGTCCCTATCACCATCTGCAGTGTTGGCGGGACCGGCATAAAGAATAAAGGCCCGGTGGTCCTAGAAGCCTTCCTCTCCTTGGCTCTTCTACCTCTTTCTCTCTGTGTAACTTGCTCTTCCCCTTAGTCTATAAAAGGGGAAGCAGGACGCCCCAGGAGGAGGGACGGTGGTTCACCACTCTACATGGCTGTAGACATCAAAACACACACCCTAACACGCCTTAGGAGCACACGCACATCAGAGACTTGAGACATGTCACTATCTCACTCGTTTGTAACCCCTACTATAAACTTTCAGTGCTAGTAACACGAGCAGTAGCGATGAACTAGGCGTAGGGACTTTCTGCCTGAACCAGTATAAACTCATGTCCTCTAAGCACACCATCCGAGCTAGACGCGCAATACTAGAAATTTACTAGTTGGTAACTTGAAACACCGACAATATCCTTGGAGTCTTTTATTTTCCTCCTGTCGGGTAAGTCTTGCTGAGTACAATCGAGTACTCAGGGTTTTATTCCCCTGTTGTAGGTGATCGGAGGATACTTAAAGCTGACTCTTATGTGTGAAAACCTCCTGGTGGACTCACAGAGGATTCCTTTCACGCTACGACCGTAGTGTTTATTTATAACCCTCACGAAAGGTATTTATAAGAAAAGATGTAAAATCTGCTAGCATCTCTTGTATAAAAATGTCCACTATGTTAATGCTTCACCATGTCATTAAATTAATCCTACTTCCTCTGTAACTCTGATAACATTGTTATATTCCGCTGTTATAATAAATTAAGGTAATATTCTGGTACTGTAATAAAGTGATGTAAGAAATGACTTAAAATTGTTATAAGCTTTATTCTCTCATTTATGATCCTGATGAAAAATATGGATTTTCGAGTTCTCCCTTGGGGTGTGCTCGACGAAACTGTATAGTTTAGTGTCCTTTCTTGGGTACTTAGTGTTTAATGGAAGACAGGTACTCCTGGGAGGCATTAGACTAGGCGGTTCTGCCACAACATCCACGCATTGTCGCTGAGCTCTACGCACGCTGCCACCGACAAGCTCTGCGTCGCCGAGATCTATACCACCGATGAGCTCCGCACTGGCAACCTCAGTGGCATCGAGCTTCGTGCCGACGTCAAGCTCCACGTTCACGAGCCTTCATTTGCCCAAGTAGCAAGATGTTTCGCTGAAAGCGCATGTTGCAAGCGTATGTTTCAAGTGTTTCGAGTGTTTCATATGCATGTTGCAAGTGTTTCATGTGGATGTTGCAAAAGTAGATCGGGATGTTGCATATGTTGCAAGCGTCTGTTTCAACGGTTTCATCTCTTTTTTTTATATGTATGTTGCATATGTTTCACACATATGTTGCAAGTGTTTTATCTGGATGTTGCATATGCTTTGCAATGGCTTTTCAAGTGTTCCAGGTTTTTTGCAAGTGTTTCAGACATATGTTTAAGTGTTTCATTTGTCTTTAGACGTATGTTGCAAATGTTTCATTTGGATGTTTAAAAGTAGATCGGGTGTTGTATCTCCCTCCTCGCCTTCTGCTGCCTCGCCTCGACGTCTTCTCCTTCTCCTGGCATCGGCTGGGAATCCTCCGCCCCTCCCTCTCTTCTTGATGCTAGTGATGTTCAGGGCGGCATGGGCCCCGTGTGGGCGCGTGAAATGGCGCGGAAAGGAACAGTCTATCCAGGCGTCCGAGCTCTAGTAAGTCCGTTTTTTTCTTGGAATAAAAAAGAAGTGCTCGCTGAGTGAATATCTATCTATGTCCTAATCTATCTATCTATTTATAATGTGGACGGAGAGGGGAGTGATCAGTGAGGTGTCAGTTTCAGTTTTGTGAAGGTGGCTTGGTTGGTGCGTCGGTTTCAGATTTTGTGAAGGAAACGATTGGGCTATTGTTGTGCCTCTATGCCTCTTCGTGACGTCTGTAATGGCTGGGAGACAGGCCGACAGTTATGGAAAGGGTTGACTCCTGATGCACATTTTTATAGCACTACAATAAGTTACTAATAATAGCCACAAAGGAGGAACGAAAATGAGTGGGTTGTAAATTGCACGGACAATTAACGGTCGGGATGGCGATGGCTGCTTAAGATCCGATGGCTGAAACAATGGTGATGACTTGGCACAACCTGGGAGTAGAAAAGTAGGATTAGTGGAGTTTTGTTTTATTAGAGATATAGATTAGGGCCATGTTTAGATTGCAAAAAATTGCAACCTGATGAATAGTAGCGTTTTCGTCTTATTTGGTAAATATTGTCCAATTGTGGACCAACTAAGCTCAAAAGATTCATCTCGTGATTTCCAACTAAACTGTGCAATTAGTTATTTTTTTTACCTACATTTAATGCTCCATGCAAGCGGCTAAAAATTGATGTGATGGAGAGAGAGTGAAAAAACTTGGAATTTTGATGTAAACTAAACAAGGCCTAGGTTTTATGGAAAATCAAACTCAAAACATTATACTTTTATCATGGTATCGCAGACCTGCAAATTTGAATTACCATTTGGGGCGTTTGGATCTCTTTATTTTGGAGGATACTTAATGGATTAAGTTATTTGCCTTGGATTTGAGATTTCATAACTTTCGAAAGTTCACATATAAGCATATCTCAAATTCATATAATAGGAGATGGAAATTTATTCTATATATTATCATGCTATTTTTGTACTCCCCAACTTATAACATACTACTCAACTTGTTTCCCTATAGTAAAAAATGCAACATATAAGCATTTCTCTTGCATGACCAACAATAGTTCCATATACAACCATATTAGCTTAATTAATATGTGTCTAAATTATAATTTATTAGAATGAATTCAATTCCAATAATCAAACGGGTCCTTAGTTTTTTTTTCTCCCATTATGTTTATAACACACGAACATAAATCTAGTTATTTATTTATTCATTTACTTTCACGCAAGTGATTGTGTGCAGCCGTACGGCCTTTGTTTTTGTTTCTTGGCAATGAGTCTGTCACCCCTTTTTGGGTACTCTCCCATGAAGAAACTGGGCAACCAAGCAGTGGATGATGGGATGGGGTCCTCGGGCCGGGTCAGCAAACTTGTGATCATCTATCTGATTTGATTAGCCGAAAAGGATTGATCAACAAAACGGACGCCTTTCTCTTTACAAATCATCCCTCCTGTGATGCATAAACGATAGTGCTCCGTCCTCCCTGTATATACCAACACGCCACAACAAAAGCGAAGCTCCTTCCTTTTTCCTTATTTTTTTCCTCCTTCCAGGAGAACTGGAGTGGTGATCGAGGATACACCATCATGTTTTACTACTAATTTCTTCTTCTTTTTTCGAATTTCTTGTGAGAACAACCCGTAGCTTAATTATATGAGAGCGTACGTATGATGCTGTTTGTGCTTGACGCTTGCAAGTGGATGGATGCAGTTTTCCGTTTGGCACTGGCTTACTTCGCCCATCCAAAATCCAGGCATTTTGTTCCTGGCGTCCAACAAGGCGAGAACAATTCGTCTTCGACGCAGACAGATGGACAAATTAAACAAACAGGAAGCCGTTCTCTGGCATGTCCGCGACAGGCCTGCCAACTCGGCTCATCCTGCTCGCTCCGCCCCAACCCGAGCGCGCCGCTTCCCTGAACCTGAACGCCCGCATCCCGCTGCCATAAGTAGCTGGACCAACCAGCCGTCACCCACGTCCGTCTCCCTCCCCAGCTCGCTCGGTCTGTGTAGCTGTCCCCCTCGCTCCCTCCTCGGCGTCGCTGCCGGCCCGCGCCCGCGCCCTCTATACCTCCGCCCGCCTCCCTCGTGCCGCTCTGCCCCGCATTCCGCGCCGCCGAATCGGGAGGAATCTGAGGGGAAGGAAGGTATGGGGTCGACGGGTGCGGGGAGCAGCGGCGGCGGCCACGAGTGCTCCTTCAAGATCCTCCTCATCGGGGACTCGGGCGTCGGCAAGAGCAGCCTCCTCGTCAGCTTCGTCGCCACCTCCCACCTCGACGGCGACATCGCCCCCACCATCGGTACGCACGCCATCCATCGCCACGCCACGCCTCTGCTGCCCTGCGCCACGCCTCCACTGGCTGTCCCTCGCCGTACCACCACGCCGGGCCGGCGTCGATAATTCCGATCACACCTCTAGCGCTAGCCGCACGCGACTGCACTGCCGCCGTGTCAGAACAGGGCAAGACCTAGAGCCTCGGCGTACGCTCCTAGCAGAGCAGTGGTACATCACCACTAGGATTCCGAGCGGACGAAGCCATCTGTGGAGGCAGAAATCAAGGCGGCATCCGTGCGTGAGCCCCTCACTGCCCCACACCAGGAAGATGGCGGGCGCCCTCAAACCTTGCTCTGCTGTGGCATCGCCATCACCCTCACGGGAGAAATTTGGAAACGCGCCTCAATTATTGCCTCTTTTTTTTTTTCTTTTCATTCCGAGTCTACTATCTGTAGTAGCTCTATTAATTACTCCGTGAGGGCGATCCACCATTTGTGCCAATTCTAGTGTCAGCGTCGGATCGACCAGGAGTGTGAAGTAGGTGGCGGATTAAGGGCACGAACGAGACGGCCAAGTTCAGTGAGCAAAACTTCCACCATTTTTAATGTAGGAGGAGCTGGCTTCTGCTCTTGCTTGTACTGGGAGTTACTGCACTGCTTGCACCTTTCTTCCTGTCAGTTGGGGGGAGTTGGAAAAATTTGCCGATGCTGTCACTGCTGTACCTTGCACTAGACCTCGTGCACAGGTGGTTAAGTTAGCTTGGATAACTAGCTTACAAATTATGCTGGTTAGATTGGTTCCCTGATCCCACTTTCCCTTCCCTCGTGCTATGCTGTACCACTAAACTTTAAAAGGGCAATGGTGTTTTCTTTGCAAATAAAAAAAATAGGAGGGTAATCATGTCTAAAATAATATCTCAAAAGAAGTGGCCATCCTGCATAGACTTGAAGGTGTAATATGCTGAGAATAGCATATACTCCTTATGCAAGAAGACCAGATCGCGCACAAATCTTCAAATAAAATTTGTTATTCTTATTTCCTGGCAGCCTGCTGTTTCAGAAAATTTCAACTAAAGTATTGTAGTTTATATCCTATCCACTGAGGATGGTTCTAACATGCCAGTTATATTTTCCTCCGTGATTCCAATTTGGTAATAGCATTTTTCTGTATTGCATGCTTCTGGTACGTGACACTTTTATATCTGATTAAATGGCATGCTGTCTGAATTGTGTTATTTGTTGCCAGGTGTGGATTTTAAAATCAAGTTCCTTACAGTTGGTGGAAAGAAACTAAAGTTGACAATATGGGATACTGGTAAGTACTCAGATTATGCAAAAAATATCATTTACTGTTTGTTATTATATCTCTGATTCTTGATGGGAATACACAATACTAGCAAGGCTGTTTTGCATGCAGTTTGGTATCAGCATCAGAACTTGTTGGGCATTCCAACTTTGCTGCTAAATGCTTGTGTTTCTACTCATTTTAGAATTCCACCCTTTTCTGCTCTCATTACTGTTAGTGGTTTGAGAATCAAGGTTTGCTTTTCAGCTAATATATTTGGTTTCTTCTTCCATGCCTGTCCTTACATCATGGCTATTGGGGTTTCTTATTCACAGATTTTAGCTCCACCTTGCTGCTTTGTGCCTAAAATATTTGGCTACTTTCGCCATGTTAGGCCTCACATCCCTAAAATCATTGCGACCCTAGGTTCCATTAATATTAAAAGTTTTGTTGTTTAGCCCTACTAACTCCTTTACCCAAAGGTATCTCAATGCTTCACCATGTTACCTCTCTACTGCTGCTAGAACTTGAAGGTTTCTAAGTTATCTATTAACAGCATAAATTACGTTACGTTGTTTTCTGATATTTTCAATATTCCAAAAAACATGGAGGCCTTCGTGTGCTTTTTGTTTATGTTTCTTTGCGGGTTGGCTCTCTCAAGAGCTTGTGGTTGTACTGTAGCCTGTTGAGGCGCGTGTGCCATCGAGGCAGAACCTTCTGCTCTTTTTTCCCTTACTTAAATGCAAGGCAGAGCTCCTGCCACTTTCTTTCAAAAAATAAATAAATACTTACAATGCTTTGCAGCTGGCCAGGAGAGGTTTAGGACAATTACTAGTTCTTACTACAGAGGTGCTCAGGGAATTATTCTAGGTAAGACAATATTTTTTACTACAAGTTGACTGCTTAAATATATTGTAACGTCACACTAGTGTCATTTTTGTCACCTTTATGTCGGATTATTATTGAAATATGCCATAGAATGGTATAAGTTTGATCTATTTAGTCACTAAATGCGAGCTCTCCATAAGCTTGGGTATCTGATGTTGCGATATCTTGATCTATTTTTTATGTTGAGGGTTTTACATGTAGCGCCAATGTGTCTCTTACAGTCTCGTTATGTCAATGATATATCTTGACTTGCGGGTGAACAATGGTTATAGATTACTGTGTATGAACTCATCATATTTATGAATACAGGGATTCACGGCAGTAAAAATCACCTCCATGTTTTGTATATTCATGTACAAACTTTCCAGAGAAGCATATTGTATTTGTTATTTGGAAACCATATCCATATCTTTGTCATTTTTCATCATTTTATGAATGGGATCTCTGACTTAACTTTGAATGATAATTCCAAATGGTTGCATCCCATGGACAATTTAATTGCTGCATTTATGGAATCTGAATACCACTTATGATTAATTTCAGTGGTGAATAGTCTAGAGAATTTTTGGATGTTTGGTCCATGTTCCTATTTTTCATGCTTTAGTTATTACATTTTTATCTGAATCCTTCTGCATCTAATGGAAGTTTTGCCTATGGAATTTCTATCCGGTCCTTCATCTTGTTCTTTCGTACTTGGATTATTTAAGGTATAATGACTTTGTATTTAACTCCTAGTATATGATGTCACAAAGAGAGAGAGTTTCTCAAATTTGTCTGATGTTTGGACTAAGGAAATAGAAGCAAACTCAACAAACAAAGACTGCATAAAAATGCTTGTTGGAAACAAAGTTGACAAGGTACCATCTCTGCCAGAAATTTTATTGTTATTTCTTTTTTGGAAACATTGTGTCTCATCTAAGAATTTCTTAATACCTCTTGTTGCTACGCAAGTGACATCTATACATTCTTTACTCTTTTAATCCTTTTTAACCCCTAACATTCTGAAGTTCTAAAAAGTAAAAGTTATGGGCTCTTTAGGGTAGAATAACTACATTTTCTAGTTCCTATTTTTGATTTTGATGGCCTCATCTTGCAGGACGATGAAAGGATGGTCACAAAAGAAGAAGGTATTGCTTTTGCTGAAGAATCTGGATGTCTGTTTCTTGAGAGCAGTGCAAAAACACGAGAAAATGTTGAGAAATGTTTTGAAGAACTTGCATTGAAGGTATGCTTGGAGAAAGATATTAGGCACAGTAATGTTATCCACTTAAAACCCTTCTTTCTTTTAAGGGGTCGGGTTGGGGGCCTTGGGGGGGAGGTGGTTATCCCATCGTCAGGTACCTTATGGCATCCCCTAAAAAAAAAAACTTATGGCACCATCCACACCGAAGCTTGAGACATTAGTTGGTTCTGATTAAACTAGCAATTCAAATAACCAAACAAAAACCCTATTACTCTACAGATAATGGCCACATATAATTCTTTACGCTTGCTGATGCTTTGCACAATTGCACATTTGATGAGGTGTATTGAAGAAAGTGCAAAAATTCCCATAAAAAGCAAATGGAAAATATTCCTGCATGTTAGTGCTACAAGAAACGTGGCTGTTGCTGTTCCTAAATTGCATAAATTCATTAAATGACTAATACACGGAAGTAGATGTTTTCTTCTTTGCTGCCAGAAACCTATTTTATGTATCGCGTGAACTTACTCAGGATCCTGCTGTTATCATGCAGATTCTCGAGGTCCCTAGTCTCCTGGAGGAAGGGTCTTCTTCGGTTGTCAAGAGGAACATCCTGAAACAGAAGCAGGAGAGTCATGCAAAGAACGGTAGTGGATGCTGTTAATAGATGTGCTGATCCACACGACACGGTTGGCTGTCTTCGTGTGAGCTGCCCTGATGTTCTGCTGTACATGAGTTGTATCTACATGGTCTTGTGAGTAAAAAGGGGTTAAAGAATCAGCTTTGTTTGAGGTTGGGGGTGGGGGAGTGAGCATAATTGATCTGTACAAAGGACATGGCAGTTTGGTGTCATTGATTTTTTTTTCCTCATCTCCAGTTTAGTGGAGCAATTTTGTTGTCGCCCTAGCAATGGAAATATGGAATCATCTCTTCTCTCTCCACAGTATTGTTCTAGCTGGCCTGCGGAAGCAATTAGCGTTAGGATTGACCTTAGGACGCCTAGTAGTAGCGCCGATGGTCGGTAGCAGCACATGAGGAAGCAGGCTAGTTTTGGTTTGTGGTCGTTGCCTTTGGAGGATAGGTGGGACGGGCGATATCAGTTTCTACGGTGTTTGGTCGTGGAGTAAGTGGGATGGCTTGGTATAAAAAAAATCTTAGGGATACAAACATTCTCTGTGAGGAATATTTCTCTTAGATGCTAAAAAATTAGTTTAACTTGAACTAGACTTGGAATTACATCCTTTCTCGCATGGAGGGAGTAACAACGAAAATTCTTTTGCACCTGCATCGTAATGGTAAAAAGCAAATGCCGAATAGAACTTGGCTCCCAAGTCCCAACCATAGATTAGGCCCTCTCTCTAAAAAAAAAACATAGGTTAGGCCCATTGCTATGGGTTAAGAGAAAATTAGGATTGAGAGGCCAGGTTGATTATAGGCGAACTGAAGGTAGCTTAAGTTCGTTGGGTCCTTCACTTAGGTTCAAAACATCAGCTAAAAATGAGTGCTCATATTTTTTCTGTATTTATTTTAGAATTTAATGACGTTATTTTTGCGGTAATAGACAATATACTCATCAACATCAAGACGCCTGTGATTAGCCAATCTCAAGATATGCTAGTTTAATCTTTTTAGAGATGCTCAGAGGTGAGATTATTTTTTAGTGTTTGACGACATAGCTGTCAGACAACGAGATACATATGGTTTGACAATCTCGAGATACATATGCCTGTTTAGTTTTTCAAAGCGCTTACGTTCATGTGAATCTGTTCTGATTCGCAAAAGAAAGATGCAAGATTATAGGCTGATCAATGGTAAGCCAACCAATGAGGCAATAGGGTGACAACTGACAAGTGGACGGTAGGACGGGCATCGCGTGAAGGGCAGCAACCCATTTGGCCGGAGAGCCTAGTGCCGATGGTTGAAGGCTCTGTAGCGGTTACTAACCGCCAGAGGAAGAAAATAACGAGAGTTTACATGTGCCTATCATTTCACATTTTAAAGAACCTTTATATATTTGATAGGAAAAAGTCTACTTAACCCCCACCTTTCATACTTGGTCTATTTCATCCCCTGAACTTTCCAAAACCGTCTATTTTATCCCCGGACGGGTTTTTTGACATCGAGTTGCTACAGTAACAGTGGTTTGCTACAGTGTCGTTGGGTTTGAATTTTTTTATTTATTTTCGGTGAATTTTTGAAAAATCATAGAAAAATCTAATTTTATTGGACTCCACATGAGTAGATCTACACAGTGAATATATAATACGGTATGCTTTAGTACAATTTCTTTTGTAGCTTTAGATTAATTGAAAAATCTAATTTTTCTGTAATTAATTAGAATTTATTTATAACTAAGTTATACATAGTCTAATGAGTAGCAAACCCGCTGTTACGGTAGCAAAACCGTTGTCAAAAACCGCGGTTTTAGAAAGTTTAGGGGGTAAAACAGACGATTTCATAGTTATGGGTGAAGTAGATCAAGTATGAAAGGTGGGGATTAAATAGACTTTTTCCTATTTGATAAGAGAAACACCGGGTATCAAGTTCAGTCACAGGATATGAGAATCCGAAGTTAACCGTTGGAACATAATTTATTCTTCCACATAGTCTCTCGGTTGGTCATACAGTGAAACCCCTTGCCACGCCCAAGAAAACGTAGCTTCTCATTCCGTTCGTTGGCCCTAGTAACGGTAGATGAGATCGTTAAATGCACCCGGATTCTTCGCGAACTGATCGATCTCGGCCTGCGGGGAAAAAAATGCCGGAACGGTGATGGAGTCTAAAATATTTTCGTACAGAATATTTAAAATTAAAACAATAAAAAGAGATTAAAGCATGCTAAAAGAAAATAAAATTAAAGAATGCTGACCTTCCGTATAGCTATAGCAGCTGTGACAAGTTTATCACCAATTAATTCATGCAAAACCTTATCTGCAGAAAGCGCTTCTACAGATTCCTGCAGGTTCTGCGGTAGCCTCTTCAGTTTGGAAGCGTGATCAGAAGGGTTTGATTCTGCAAACAGCACGAATCACATAAGGTATTTGCATACTGAGGTAATGATGTTTTCTTCTAGACATATAGTACTTCATCCAGTACCGAACGGCGAACGCTTGTCACTTATCGGATCAAATGTTGTTAGGATTGTTTCCAAATATTACCGACAAGGCATAAATTTTGGAAACAATGGCCAAAAGGAAAGGCCAGGCATAAGGAATTCATACCAATTGGTTCGGGCAACTTAAGGTCTCTTCTTAGCCCATCGATGCCGGCAGCAATGATAGCAGCAAGACCCAAGTGCGGATTTGCGCAACCATCGAAGGATTTGATCTCGAAGTTGCTGACTAAATCAAGAGGCACACCAGGTGGGCATGCGGTTCTTAATGGAGCTTCCCTGTTCTCTTTCCCCCAGCATTGATAAGCTCCACTCCAAGTATCTGGCTGAATCCGGTCATAGCTATATACAAAAATAAAAATAAAAATCAAGTGAACTTGATCATTAAATAGGGAGCACACAACATACTGTTGAAATGGTTTCATCAGTATCCTGCCATTTTGTCAGAGGAGTAGCAAATTATGCTGTCTGGATTATAGGGATAAATGAATTGACATCTTGTAAATATCATGCAGCTTATATGAGAAACAAAGAATGTATTGAGTTATCAAGATTTCAATTGAATTACAGGGCATTCTTAGATGCGTTAATAGATGACATTACCTGTTTGGGTGAGGAGCAGTAAATGCCAATATTGATGGAAGATGATGATACACTCCAGCAAGGAACTGTTGTCCAGTTTTTGACATTCCATGAAAATTATCTTTACTTGACCCCATAAAAACATTCTGATCATTCTCCCACAAGCTCAGATGCACGTGAGAACCAGATCCAAAATCATTCAAATCAGGCCTGGAAAGCGTCCAGGCAGAAGAAAGAATCAGATATCAAATAAATAGGGCCTGTTTGGTAGGCTGCACGAGGGTGGCCTGTGAGGATGGACTGGGTCAGAGCAGATATGAGCAGGCTGGGCCGCTGGGGAGGTGCAACCAGCTTTGTTTGGTTACTGTGTTTAACCAGAGCCTTGCTCCCCATGTTTGTTTGGCTGCATGAGCTGTGGGCCATAGCTTGTTGTGAGCACGGGTCGAGCCTAGAAGAAAAGAACCTCATTTCCGTTTCCCCAGGTGCAGGCTTTTGGCTGCTTCAAGCGGCATGCCAAGTCTGGCCCGCCAGGCTTTCCAGCCTACCAAATACAAGAAGCTGCTGCCCGTCAGCCAGGCCGCTCGTGCAGGCAAACAAATAGACCCATAAAGTTTGAAATGATTGGTGATCATCCAGTATGGACCAAGTATAGCTCATATTTCAGCTCCCTTCAGCATCAAAAGAGTTTCAACTCTCTTTTGCCTGGCCAAATCTGTTCACAAACATTTTGCTACTAGCACAAAATGAGGTAAACAGATAAATCCATTCTATGAAGCTAGTACTTAAATTGTTTCTGTTTAATTTAATAAATTGTTAGCTTAATTTCACTTTACTGTTTTTCACCTATGGTCACAAGATAAGTTAGTCTCCATTATCGAACCATAATGTGGTGAAACTTAAATGAGCAGACCTATCTATGTTGACCCATAACTTACTTTGGAAGAAATGTTGCTAGCAGTCCATGCTTTCGAGCAATCGATTTAATAGTCTCACGGGCATATATGAGTTTGTCAGCCGCAAGAGTGCACAAGATATACTTCAAGGCTATCTCAAACTGCCCTTTTCCAGCCTCAGCATGCAACTGCCATTTTTTAGAGGAGAGGGGGGAGGTAGAGGTACACAGAAAAAAATCAATCAAGAAATCATTGCAAATGAACTAATAAGTCTGACATCAAATGTTGTACTTTGACATGAAATTTTTGCACATGACAAGTGTAAAGCCCTTACCTGCTCAACAATAATGCCTGAAGCTTTGAGGGAAGAATATACTTCTTGTAATATGGATGATGCACCATCGAATGCTGAAGTTGAGCAGTAATTGGTATTATCATATGGAACCCACTGCTCAACTCCATCACTGCAGAGATTTTCTATTCAGATCAATAAAAATAAAAATGTTTTAAAACTTTCAATAGGAAACATAGCCTGGAAAAGCTACCTTACTAATTTTCTGCGAAGAAAAAATTCATTCTCAAAACCTGCCTTCATTGTCTGAAAGGATAAATAACTAAGCATGAATACCAAAACAGATGCAATTTAGAATCCATGAGGCGAAACAGCCTTCAAAAATTTAGACAGGAGAAAGTGTGGATTTATTCTTACCACATTGAACTCATCTAGCAGAACTTTTGTGACTTTCCTCAAGGCATTTCTAGGACAGTATTCCCAGCCTTCTCCAGGCCTTATTTGCATGTCAGCCATCACCATTTCCTCGCGTCTAGACCTTGTAACAAGAGTAATCTACCATTAACATAATTAGAAGTGAGGCTTCTACAAACATAAAATTTATACTAGCATAACCAAGCCAACTTTAGGTATATTAATATTATTAAAAGAATAAAACATGATGTCTTAATGCATTTGATGAATTAATATGAACTAAACAAGAAAACAGAATCACTAGATGGGCACTTTTGAGTCCTGCCCTGGCCCTGGTAGTTGTGTCACTTGCTTTTGTCATAGGCTAAAAGTTTGTGCTTTCCCTAAGTAAGGTGGGTGTGTTGTGCTATGGGGTTTCTTATCTCTGTGTACTCATCTTTCTTCTTAATGAAATGATACGCAGCTCCCCTGGGTGTTCGAGAAAAAAACCAAGAAAATAGAACACTCTTAACCATAATGTAGCAATTGATTTTTAGAGTTATAACATAATTTAGATTTTTATTTTACAAGAATATATTAGGTGATTACTAGTAAAGGAATGAGACTGGCATGCTATTTCAATATCCCCTATTCTAGTACTCTCTAGTCTCTCCGTTCCAAATTTTAAGCCGTTTATGTATCTAGACATAGCATATATCTAGGTGCATAACAAAAATTATGTACCTTGAAAAAACAAACAGACTTACAATTTGGAATCGAGGGAGTAGTAGTTACCCATATAATTAACATAGGAACTTCAAATGCATAGATATGAGAGAGGAATAGGTGAATAGCAATAGAATGTAAGTCAGCATATCATTGATGTGGAAACAGGAGTAAGGAGAAGACAATAAATAACAAGAACGAAAACAAGTGTCACAATGGGTGTGTCAACTGAAAAGTGTACTTAAGAAGGAACTGGGCTGAGTTCAATTGGTGTGCACTCCCACCAACCAGGTTAAAGTCCTCTTCAACACGAATTTGGGTGGTTCTTTCTTCATGTTTACATTCACAATGCCACATTGTTCCTCCTAGATTGATCAAGTTATTTAAAAAGGTAGTGAAGAATGTTCAAAACAATCAGAAATACCATGGGATCCTAACAAGTGTTGGCATATCTGGTACAAGTCTGATCTCGCCTACACCAGTAAGGTTAGACCCATCTGCTGGGCCATCACAAAATGAAGTCATTCCCATTGCTGCAAAAGTCAGACCAACACCCTTATTCCTTGTAATCTCATAAAACCGTCCAGCTGGCACAACCTGGAAGTACAATTCTTTGAGAAGTGAATAAAATATGATGTACTATTTTCTCAAGACTCAGAAAGAACACTTGCAACTATAAGAACATACTTAACGTGCTATGTTGGTTGTGTTCTTTTTTTGCCAAAAACAAAAAATAAAAGAAAAACAAGTTATCAGCAGGTGTAATATGCTGGGCAAAGTTCATTATACAAGCGTATATAACTTTATATGGAGCAGATAACAGTGCAAGAGAAAAATCAACTGATAACTTTATTTTCCATGGTAAAACTAACAGAGAACTTTATTGATCCATGGATCATGAGAAGTATCAATACTTTGCATCATATTAATTGCAGTATGTGGTCAGAAAAAGGTACTTACGCGGCATCTATATTGACCAGAAGCATCACTCCAGATTATTCGAACAAAGAGCACATCTTCTTCAACAGAAGACAATGACACACTGTCACCAACTATGGTAGTCTCATGATTTATTGATCCGTTGACAACATTTAACTTGTACAAATGCAATGCATTTCTTCTAAAGATGTCCTCAACAGCTTCGATGGCTTCCTGAATGCTAAGGTCTCCATCTTCACATGCAGCAGATAGGACACGATAAACAACATCCCGTGCCCTTTTTGCACCTGTAAATCAGCACAATGTATGAATCAAGAAATGAAACATTAAACCAGCATATATTAAATACATATTCAATATGTAGATACACCCTTCCATGGTTCACAATACAAACCGTAGCAAACATATCTATAAATCAAAATCCCATGAACCAAAAAAATTCCTTTCTAATCTCTTTGTTCATGGTAAAAAAAAGTATTTTTACTTATCCTAATGTAAGCTACCATTCGTGCACCTTGATTTCTGATAAGATATTTAACATTTGTACCGATGGGCAATGCTCCTCGATCATTTTATGAACTATATAAGATGATGAATGTACCTAGATAATATGTCTCTGGAAAAGCATATCCATCAGTACTGAACATGACCTGAAAACTTTTGCAAATTAGAAATACCTTGACAAGTTGAAATGTACCTTGGACAAGTTGATATATACATAGGTATATCATATCTAGCTGGCCATAGAATAACTTATTCTGGCAACAAGATAGTTACTATGCTAATCAGATACTATATTTATTATAATATATATATATATATATATATATATATATATATATATATATATATATATATATATATATATGGCGATTTGAGAATAGTCTTATATATATATATATATATATAATCAATCAAAATGGAGTAATGTTACTAAGGTGACATGATACTGAATATTAAAGAAAAGCACTAACATCAGTAAATTGAATGTATTGTAGCACAAAGTAGGAACAAGATACTTTGTAATGCCTAAGATGGAAGGTCTGACTAGGCATCACTGAATTTCTATGGACAGCTTCCAGGATAGGTACTTGTTATGATGAAAGAATCACTACTGGCAGGAACCAAGTAGCGTACTAGCACTAACAATTTTTTTGAGAATGTGCATTGCACGTGTGTTTCATTAAGAGAAGTGGGAAGTGCAACAACGCGTCCAAAACAGTACAGCAACACAAAGGGGGAAACAAGAAATTAAGCTGAAACGAAAGACTAAGAACTACAGGTGTAGAGTTAAAACTGAACAGGAGAACAGTACCACTTTCCACCGACTGCAGCCAGTCACAGGATATCAAAACTGACGATCAAACAAGGAAGGCCAAGACGATGAGAAGAGTACTTCATTTTGATTGACTATATCAAAACTGACAGTACTTTTGCAGATTGGTGACGCAAGACGATGAGAAAAGTTAAAAAGGAGTGACCACTTTAATTATTCTCGGTGCCTGGATTATATGGAAACATAGGAATGCATGTGTGTTTGAGGGCGCATCTCCTTCGGTTAACACAATTTGGAGTGAGCTGAAGGACAAGCTGCACAGCCTTTGGTGCATGGCTAGTGCGAAGAAACTACAAGGGCTAGGAAACCTAGGTCAGTTTGGGCTAGGTCGAGTCGTGTTTGTTCGCTGTGTTTGAACCATGAGTCTGTAAATGTGTTGACAGCTAAAAATGTCATTTTTGACATTTTGTCAATATGCATAATGGACTCCGCCGTTGAGTTCCTCATGTCGAGATGGTCAAAAAACATATATGGAATGTTCAATTTGGAATCCGGATGAAGGAGTTATGCCCTCGGGAAGGCTTTCTGTCCTGCGCAAGTCAGAACTTCCGACTTGTGCAACGTCGGAAGTTCCAACCCAGGAGAATCCAAACTCTTCCAAACTCGTGGAAAACTTGAAGATTGCGTCTCGGAAGGGTTTCCTATTGGGATAAGACCACCCCCTCTATATATATTGGAGGATCACGGCCAATTGAGTTATCCAACATCCAATCGATCTTTTTTACATCTATTACCCTTTTTACCCTACTTTTCCAATCTCCTGCCGTTCGGTGGATCTCTCCGCGAGATTCGACGGCATTCTAGTTGGCCTTGCCGATCCTAGGACAACCTCGGCATGCGTCTCCCCGACGGGTCTCCCCGGGAGGTGTTCTCGAGATCTATCGGCGAAGGACGGGTTTCAAATCGGCCTAATCGATCTCTAGATCAGTTTTGTTGGTCTTGAAGCTGCTCGCTGCTTTTGGCGTGTGCGACCTCAGGCATTCTAGCCATTGCTGGTGTGTGATCCGAGATCCAATTCGGCATCAACAAAATGCCTCACTCAGAAGACTTGGATGAATTCTATAATTTTTTAATAAAAAATGCATAAGTCTACAGCCAAGAGTGGCACTCAAACAGAATGGTCATAACTTGTTCATAAGCAGTTAAACCCAGACTAAGAAGGTCTGCCTATAATATGCATCAACCACTTCTGGAGAAAATAATCTGGCGCGACATATTTAACCAAGAAAAAATAGACCCCTGAGGAAAGATAGACCCAAAGGCTTTGATCTAAGAGGCTGGCCACCCATGTGGCACTCCCCGCGCCAGCAGCTGAAGATAGTCTAAACAGCGAGTGAGTGAGGGAACTTTTAATGCAGCACAATGGGGGCTCGAACCACATGGGTGGTGTCACAACTGATGCCCCCACCCATCACGTTAGCAGTGCGTATGCCCACTATATTTAACTGCAGTATTGTCTGTTACCAGAACTTGAATTCTGGAACATTTCCTGCTACTGCAGCATTTTCTGTGTTTATTAAAACTTAGCCCTGCTAGTGTAGTGAGAGTACAGAGTGAAATATGAACAATATGATCGATAGTGAAGACAGGATAAAACTCAGTTCTGTTTTTAAGCAACACAGGATCATAAGGTAGACTGAATTAATTTCAGAACTTGAACTTTTCTAGAAACTGTTAGTCAGAAGATGGACGCTTTACCTTCTTTATGGGAGCTAGCTCCAGAAGCTCTTTCAAGGACGATGTCATTCCATGAACACTAAGTTTTGGAATCGCCAAGCCAAAATCAAGGTAGACCTGATTGTTGTTTTTTAGGGATGGATAAAACTTAAAAGCCATGAAACCAAAATATATGCAATAGGAGAAAATCAGGATCTACCTGGGAGTAAACAGATGCAAGATAGGATGCTTCCTTAGAAAATGGATAAGAAGCATGTAGAAGAACAATTTGGCACTTAGCAAATCTTTCGTCCTCAAGAACAGCACGCAAATGTAGTGGGTTGCACTTTCGCAAGTCAAGGTCCTTATCTCCAAAACTGAAAAATGTATAGGAGTATATGTACATGTATGAGATATTGAAACAACCAAAATATAACATTGCTTTCATACTAGGAGCCAAATTGTCGTCACCCTGTGTGAATTTGCACTGGCAGGTTAAGTGAAACAGCAATTCCAAGACTGCAGGTAAATAGATAGTCAATCAGGTTCTTGTTTGTAATCCGAAATGGCCTAGGACCTGAAAAACATGGAGGAACATAATTGCAAATTTTGTTGAGATTGTTTTAGGCGTTCTATCTCCATGACCAAAAAAAAAGTGTCTACCTGTTAGCTCCTTACGAAGACCATCCTCTGCATCGGTCTTGTTAACATTGGGATTGATCTCTAAGCTGCTTCTATATGCAGCTATGCTTTTTAATGCAACAATTTGGTTAGAAACTGTGAGCAATAAGTTAAGGATATTCCTAAATCAAAATGAACTAAAGAAAAATAATCCAATTGGCTTGCAAAGGGTATTGAAAAATCTGGAGGATATGAATTCAGCTTAGCTATGTAGCTTTCAGTGAATGAGTCCAGTGTCCAGCTTGATCCACTGAATGACTCCTGAAAATGGTAATCGTGCAAGTTGACTAAACATTACTTTTTAAAAAGTAGTTAAAATGGATTATTAACTACAAATAGCTGATCTGATATTTCAGTATAAGAAATGTAATATAGGTTACTGGTTCCATAATGAATGGTCATGCTATTTTGCTAAAGTATAAATTTTTCCCAAGCAACCTTTGCACTTAGTAACAAAAAAAAGTGAATACAGAAAAAAAATGTAATACCTAGAGAGAGAAACAAGAGAAATACACTCACATCATTGATGATTGTTTCTGCTAGCCTTTCTATTCTCAGAACTCTGCCAACTACAGGAGCAAATGCCTTGTGAGACTCCAAGTCTAGCATTTTGTCGAATGCTATGCCATCATCTATAAGGATGACAGATATGTTGGCAGCTTGGAAGCATTTGGAGCCAATCGATTTCAATCCTTCAGCACTTCTGAACTTCTCCACCTTCTCAAGTAAGGGCTCGCAGTTGTACAATGCAGCGATGTCCCTCAGGCTTCTCTGCATTTGAGCATTTCATAAGGTTCCACGGATGTAATGAGTTATATGATAGTGCACCCTTACGTAGGCTAGGTGCCTTATAAAAACATTCTACTACATTAACGGGCACATGCCTTGCGTCAGATTTCCCCACACGCTATTGAAAGAGAAATCTAACAAAAACATGTTGCAAGTGCTACAGTAATTGGCTAATCGCAGGGCAAGGGCAACGATACTTAGGCCAAAAAGCTAGTAGGAGGCCTACTGACTCTGTAATTACTAACATGGATAAAAGCTGCTGGAAAAATTGCCCCACAACCCCTGAGGCCATGGACACTTGGCTGGGCATTCCAGACCAGCTCCTCATGTGCATATACGCAAGACTCGGTTCCAGTTTCGGAACAAGCAGCCCCACCACTCACAAGGACCCCAGGCATTCATGACTCATCAGGAGGCAAGGAGACGATCAAAGGCGGAGTACTATACAGCCACCACGTTCTACTGCACGATGGCAAGGCAGCCCATAATGCTGCTGCCATCTGCATGCCGCACTGCAGAAAACGAGGAGCTCAGCATATTCTGCTAAAACAAGCTGGTCAATTGCAGTAAATTTGCATTCATGTCTACCAGTTATATACTTATATGTGCCCTTTGTACCCTGCACTACCCTCCAAAACCAACTAGCAGCACTTGTTTAGTTAGCAGTGTGAGCAAATCTCCTATTGCAATCAAATCAGGACTACTTGCCACCTTCTAAAATAATTTCTTGAGTTGATCCACAGTACTAGTGAATTCAGGAACACGGAGTTGAATCATACGTATAGCAGCGTTTGCACATCAGGGACCGCCAATAAAACTATTAAAATATGCCAACGAAAACCTCAATCGACACGATCTAGCACGGTAACCCAGCCTGCAGGCTGCCATCAATGTCGCGATTTCGAATATACTGCTAGGAGAGTACCAGCAGAGCAAGCTCCAAGAGCACAGCTGCACAGGACAGGACCGGGGAGGAAGCGGGGCCCCGTGGCGGAGCGGAGCGGGACGGGGAGTAGTGCTAGTCGTGGGAAGTGGCGGGCGGCGGCTTACCTTGAAGGAGAGGGAGTGGGGCGCGAGCGCGAGCGCATCCCCCTCGGCCTCGGAGAAGCAGCGCAGAAAGGGGAACGCCGAGCCGTGCTCCACCAGGTTGTGCGCGTGCGCGTCCACCGCCGCCACCTCCTCCGTGGCGCGACGCAGCGCCTCGTACCTCGCCTCCATCTCCCTCCGCGGTCTCCGCCGGCAGCCGCCGCTCGCGCTCGCGGCCTCAAGGATCTACGATTGATTCTACGTAGAGAGGCGGAGCGAGTCTCGGTCACGTTTGACTGAAGCGGTGGCTCTGTCTGCGGGATAGCCGGATTGGCGGAGAAGAACGACGCACGGCGGCAGCACGGAGTGCCGAGTTTTTATATAGGCGGTGGCAGAGTGAACTGGGAGGGTAGCCAAGGAGTGGCACTGACACGGGCCGCATCCACCGCTCCCAGTTGCTGTTGCTGCTCCTGCTCCTGCTCGGCTGAAGAGTTGCAGGGGCTGGGTCGACGGTCGACGCGGTGAGGCTGTGCCTGACTCAAACACATCGGGAGGCCGTAAACGATCGTGGATTATTTATTGCTAGCTAATTTAATGTGAGAGAAAAATACTATTCTGATTGAAAATTTACGATCATTTACGATCAAGCGAACATGCTATCAGAATTAAGGAACTGCATAGTTGAGATTTTTACTAGGTTAGCTGCTGACTGACCAGCTAGTACAGTACTATCTTTCTATTAACACACAAAAAATACAATTCTGGCTTTGAATCTGGACACGGCGCTTGTGTAGCTCCAAAGCTAGAATTGTGTTTTTTTTAAAATGGAGGGAGTAATAATTAACAATTAGGTGTATTTTAGTTACAGGAGCTAGCTAGTAACTTTTTGTTAGGCGGTAACTCATTTTAAGGTATTAATTGGATTATTAGATGGGGTGTTTAATCCCCTATTAGCTCGGAAACAAAGCATTTCCATACATGGATGATAATGATCTCATGAGTGATGCCAGCTTCGGCTAGTGACTACAGTAAAATCCGATTTATCTAGGACGTGTTTGGCTGGACGACACCGGTGGCAACTGGCAACCAAGTCAAAATTCATCTAAAATCGGAACTTCTCCATTATCATCTAAAAAAAAGAGAGTCAAAATTCATCTGTTGGCCGTAGAATCGATGCCATGAATTGTTTGGCTGACTCTAGGCGCTTGAATCAGCTGCTAGCTGAAGGTTGAGGTTGCTGACGAACGATCACTAAGGATGCCATGATACAGCCGAAGAAGTCGTCTCTAGCGGCTGCGGCGAATAAAAATCAGGACTTCAGGAGCTCATCACGGGCGGCAGGCAATGGCATCAGATTCAGCCCTGTTTCTGTTCTTCCCCATTTGTTTTGATTTGTTGCCGGCCTTTAACTTCATAATCCAATGATTCATTGGAGTGGACACGAGTCTACCTTGTTCTTGGCTGGAGTGGCAGCACACATAATTTTGCTAACTTGTTGAGGGAGAGAGGATCAGTCTCGACATAGCGTAGCGCCACAGATGATTTTGCTGATTAATTTCTAGCGTAACCAAACACAAATTATATAATAAAACCCACACCTACGGTTTATGGTCCGAAGCCTGTGATCAGGGCTAGCAATCGAAGTAGCCTTCTTGGCCAAAACGATACTTTGAATTGGAACAACCAGACGTAGAGATTAACGGAATTTCTTTGTGGTGCTAATATAGAACAACCATATTTTTGAGTTTTTTCTTGGGGGAGATCATGCTAGTAATATAGAAGGGATATTTTGATGAGGGAGATTGCCATACTATTGATTGAGCTACTATCCAACCTCAAATGAATTTTATCAAGATGGAATACATTTGATAATACCAAAACTCTACTATAACATTTCTCTAAAATATAATGAGGCTTTAGATATCCTGTGCTGGTGAATCATCACTTTCCATTAAAAGAGTATTTTAATCGTTGGTGTGGCTCAAACTGTCAAGGAATAACTCTTATTTAAAAAAAAAACAAGATATGATTTTGCATTATTTGTCCAACGCTCACAGAAAAAGGATGCTACACCGAATATTTGAAATGCCTGGTCAACACAAAATCTAGTGATTCTCACGTAGAATCAGGAATGAAAACGATCAGAAGCCGTACTATAATACAAAATCCAAAAATAGCCGTTACAGTTATTTTTTTATTTTTTTATCAAAATATCTAATAATAAAAAAAGAGTAAAAAACTGTTGTGCTAACATTTTTTCGAAGAACCAGTGGCAAGAGCATGTCGGGTATGTATTAATAGAGAAGAAGTTTTACAAAAAATAATAAAAAGACAAAGCAAAACCTCACGAAGGAGGCAATAGCAAAAACTACCGCTACAAGAGACAAAACCAACGATCCTTAGAAGCAGCATCCGTCAAACGTCACTCTGCATGCCAAGGGGACAAGAGATGTAAACTAGAAGAGGAAGTAGGTTTCCACGCCAATGCCTTCAAAGAGGAGAACGACATCCAAAGATGCCGTCAACGTCGAATGGGGAATCAATGTATTTCAATCTTATTCCTAGAGGGTAGGTGGGGCATCACGACAGTGCCTCCAACGAAGGACATGCCACCAAAGGTGTCACCATTGTCAGACAAACCCAAGGGCCTAGTAGGGCCTTCGCCCGACAACCCCGACACCCAAACTCAAACCAGCCACATCGTGGACGACCACAGCCAACCGCCTGCTGCCAGCAGGTGATCGTTGCGGCACCGACGAGGTCACAGGCATGCGTGACCTGTCGCCGCCACGCCAGCCAAAAGAGCCGCCGCCATCCTACATGACACCAGCCACCGTGAAAAGCCCCATCTTGAAAATAACATTTTCATGTTTTAATAAAAAAATAAAAATAGAAATAAAAACAATATCATGCTCTACACCAAAATTTTATGGAATCGTACCTTAGTTTTCTCCAAAAATATTTCCTTTTATCGTGGTGTTTGGAGAAAAAAAACTAGCGTTGTCACAACCGGAAACAGCAGATTTGCCGAGTGCAAAAATGTTTGCCGAGTGCATTATATCGGGCACTCGGCAAACAAGCTCTTTGCTGAGTGCTGCAAAAAACACACTCAACAAAATAATGGCACTCGACAAACAAACTCCTTGCCGAGTGCTGAAAAAAACACTCGGCAAACTAAGAAAAAAACATTCGGCAAAAAACCGACACGTGAGACATCCGTCAGTCAATGCCTATGTCCTCCATCTAGCCTCCACGTGTGAAACAGGAAAAATATTGGGTGCAAACCGCCCTCTTGGTGTAATCGTGAAAACCCTTACAAAAACCGTACTTCGAGTTTTCCAAAAATTATGAAACAATGCAAATCCACAGTTCATGTATATATGTACATTGTAGCAAAAATTGGGAGGCAAACATACATATTGTGTAAAAATCCATACAAAAATGACAAATTTGAGGTGCAAGTGCACTAGAAGATAAAATTCCTGGGAATTTGTCTTCTAGTGCAAATACTCATGAAATTTGGCCCTCGTTTAGTTCGCGAAAAGTTTTCCCAAAAAGTGTTACGGTACCTATCACATCGAATCTTACGATACGTGCATTGAGCATTAAATGTAGATGAAAAAAACTAATTGCACAGTTTGGTTGGAAATTACGAGACGAACGTTTTGAGCCTAATTAGTCCATGATTGAATACTAATTGCCAAATAAAAACGAAAGTGCTACAGTAGCTAAATTTCCAACTTTTCGCGAACTAAACACGGGCTTGGTATTTCCATGAGTTTTATAGATTGATTTTGTTTCCCAACTTTTGCTACAACGTACATCTATGGATGAACTATGGACGTGCATCGTTTTATAATTTTTGGAAACCTCTAAGCAGAGTTTTTGGAAGAGTTTTCGATTACATCAAGAGAGTGGTTTGCACCCAATATTTTCATATGAAACAAGTGCGCATAATGCGTCAATGCCTATGCCATCCATGGAGCTTCCACGTATAAACCAGCGCTCATAATGCGCTTAGATGTGGGTGAAGGTGAACAAGCATCCACACTGTTCATCTTGCCAGAATACAGAAGGCACCATATAGTCACGACCATCACTTTTTTAAGTGAAATCCAATAAACATGCTATATACTCAATTCTACATAGCCAAACATGCAGATTTCTCCATGACCGCTGATCTTTTTTCTCAAATCGACAATCATCTAGGTTTCTATCGTGTATCATACTGTTCTCCTTGAAATGATTTTGCATTTTTTTAATCCAACTTTTACCGTACACATGAATGAATAAATGATTTACAAGGTCCTACACGCGCAAAATCACTAGTGTCATGTAGAGGGGTATATGTTCAAGAATTGTTCAAATGTCATGAGTATATCTTTATTTGTTCAATTCCACAGCAATTATGTGATGATGACTGCAGCGGATTTGACGAAAGAAACAAACTGGTAATTCCAACTCACTCTAAGTTAATTGTGTTGTAATCTTATTCGGCCTGATGATCAGTGTATGACCAAACAAATTAATGCCAAAGAAAAACTCACCGCGGCTATCTCAAATAGATAGTGCTAGCTCGTACTCCTTCCATTTCAAATTATAAGTCGCTTTGACTTTTTGATATATCTATTTTGCTATGTATCTAGACATATGCTATATCTAGATACATAACAAAATCGATGCACAAAAAAAATCAAAGTGACTTATAATTTGGAATAGAAAAAGTACTTATTATGCCATAGATCTTTGATGAATCTATGTATAATATAACTCAACAACGGACCTAGAGATCAGCAGTAACAGTGGCACTTGTGCATTGCGGAACTTGGACTCGTCGCCGCGCTCAGGAGGTCTCACTCTCACACCACGAGTTGCAGGCACCGTTCTGATCCGAAGAGCACCCGTTCGTCTGGTTCTGCGAGCCCCATGAAAGATGGTCGTTGCGGCACATAGGATTGGACGATGCTGCGGCAACACGTAGATATCACATGGACAAGAAACAAAGCATGTATTTGTTAGCTATATATTAGTTCTAAACAAAACAGACAAACGATGGCATTATAGAGCTGCAGCTACTGAGAGAATAAGGCGTGTCATCGTCATCGTCAAATTACCTGCCGAGGCAACAAGAAAGGCGCGAGCACGATGAACACAACTACTGCACCTGTACGCTCCATATGATCCTCTGTATA